CACTCCAATCTTTACCCATTACAAGCTATAAATGGAAACGGTTCAATCTGAGTGAAAATGTTCCACTAGCCATTGTAGAGGTTTACACCTCATGAGGGCGTAGTTACTTTACTTCGTCCTAATTAAGGTTAAAAGCCTGGGTATAGAGTTTATGCATTAAAAGCAATGTGAATGTGTGAGAAGGAACACACAAACCTTTGACATTTTCCTATACTACCCCTATCCTAAATGCCCCACAAATATTAAGAACAAAATAAATAACAACAATATATAATAAATGACATAATTAAAATATCCAGGAAATGTAAAAATTAAAATATGCATGAAATGACATAATTAAAATATACATGAAATGTAAAACACACAATTTTTTTTTGTTTTTTATGCTCTTTGAAAACAAGAAAATTGAAGCCAATAATATTTTAGATTTCTTTTCAATTTTTTGATTTTTTTTCAATGCTTCAATTTTTTTCATTTTTTTAATTTTTTAAATTTTCTCAAAATTTTCACTTTTTAAGAAAACAAGAAAATTAAAATCAAAGAATTAAGATTAAATATCAATTATGACCATTAAACCAAATTTAAGGATTATGTGTAATGAATTTTTGGCTTGACTCTTTAAATGTATTTCTAATGGAGTCGCCAAGCTGTTGCAACATCTTGGGAGTCGGGGTTGAGCTGACCCAAAAGTCGAATGAATGGGGAAATTTTGAAAAAAAAACACAAAAGGATAAAAATATTTTCAATAAAAAAAACAAGGAGGAGTCCCTACCAATCTTTTTTCAGGGTGTGATTGGTCACCTAAAAATTTTTGTCCTTTTAATAAAACATTTTAAAATGGGTTTAAAAAGTTTTAGAGAAAGAACAAATTTGTGGTCTGTGAAATTAGAGTTGAGTCTGGAAGTCAATTATACATAGGAAGGATTACCAATCCCATAGCACTTGTCGAAAATAATACTAGTTCATTGCATGTTATCATTTAATTTTAATTAAAATAGTCCTATTTTACTTAATGTTTAAAATTAATTTCTTTTCTTTTTTCCTTTTTTTTTGAAATAAAAACAAATCAAATTTAAAACAAAACTTTTTTATCTTTGGATTAAGATGAAACACTTTAAATATCAAAATACTTCTTCTACTTTCCTATAATTAGGTAAAGTTTAAAAAATATTCATAATTTAAAAGCTTTCAAATTGCCCCATAAAACCAAGATAACACCTTTTATAAATAATTATTATCGAGAATCCTCCTATCATTAGGCAAGATCTTGATGATTATATTTACTTAAGGTATTATCTTATTTTAAAATATTTTTCTTTGAAAAATAATTTTTGAAAATAAATGCATGAGATGCATGAACATTATAACATGTGATGAATACATGAAAATATAATATAGATGACAAAGTATGAATGCATGATAATATAAAAAAGCATTTGATGACAAAATAAAATGAAATACAAATGCATGATTGATTTAGGGTTCGAGGTTTGGTTTTGGGAATTGGTTTGGTTTAGGGTTTTAGGTTTTAGGGTTAAGTTTTTAAGTCTAAGATTATGGTTTAGGTTTTAAGGTTTGGATTACAGGTTTAGGTTTAGGGTTTAGGATTTAGGTTTAGGGTTTAGGATTTAGATTTGGGGTTTTGATTAGGATTTGGGGTTTAACGCTTGGATTTGGGTTTCGGTTTAGGGTTTCACAAAAAAATATTTTTTAAGGTTTTATGGAAAGGGCTATAAATGAATGCATGTGGCAAATGCATGACCTAGAAACATAATTACAAACTAAGGTATTTTTCTAACTTAATGTCACAAACATAATGCATGAAAATTCAAGATTAAAATGGATTAAAAATAAAAACTTTCCAACTTTTGACATGTTCCACCATTTTTTTTTTTTGTGTTCTTTAAAATCCAACCAAACAAACATTAAAAAATCATCCAAACAATCCATTCAACTAGCATTTTTCCAATAAAAAATTAATCCAACACATTAAAAATTTAGTAAACATGAGAAAAATACAATCAATACATAAGATCAAGCAACATTTGGCCACAAATGAATGAGCAAGTTTTGACAAAGCAAAGAAATTACCTTGGCTGATTACTCTATGGCATTGCCATAACTTGTTTTCATTTTTAACTCAAACATGTGTCAAACATTAAGATATTCATCATGTTGAGACAATTTTAGTCACTAAAAAAATTTCATCAAAAATATAGTATACTAAAATGGTAAGAAAACCATATGAACAAGAACATAAGCCAAACACAAGATATACATCAAAATGGATCACAAAGAGGTTTGGCCCTAAAGGATTCAAGCTCGGTCAAACCCCCAAATAGTTTAATGGTGGATTGATTTTTGATTTCTTTGATCTTTTGTTTCAAATTGAGCTATGGATTAGTTGATTAAGCTTTTAGATCAATTTTGAAGCTAAAACACAAAAAATTAAGGATTTTCTCAAGAAAAAAATAAAAAAATAAAGAACCAATATGAAAAGTACTATACAAATGTGATGAGAAATGCCATGAAATGCAAGAATATAAACTAGAAATTATACATCTAAATGTGCTTTCCAAGTTTTTCTATCTTTTTTTTATTTTTTCCACTGATTTTTTTCAGCTTATCCTCCCTTTCTCCTTCAACGTGAATGGCTCATTCCCTTAGAGAAATATCTCATGCAAGAATCAATAATAGCCCTTGTATTTGAAACTCATCCAATGGTTAAAAATTCTTCATTGTTTTCTTTGCAAAAAGCCACATTTAGCCATTATATCAAGACTCCTTATAAGATCTAATGGTCCATATTGTTCACTGTAAATATTAGATTTTTACAACCTCTAAATCAATGAAAAGATCATTTTTCCCTTGGTACAAAAATTTCGATGTTTAGGCCATTTTCTTATAAATCAATATTCTCGTTCTCATTTCTGAGATTTTAAAGCATAAATACAATTAAGGCTTTCAAAAATTTAAAAATCATAAAATATTATAAAATCTTGATTTAGAGCTTTTCGTGAATATTGACTTTAATAAGATCAAATTATGAGGATATCTCTAAAGGATATTTTGGTAATTTCACATCTCCCAAGGTGTGATCCAAGTTTTCAATGCAAAAAATCATTAAAAAAATATTCAATTATGATTTGAAAAAAATTTGCTTTAGAAAAGTCAAAAAATGAAAATATCTCTAGGGGCGTTTTGGTAATTTTACACATTTCGAAGTATAAAAATTTTTTTAGTGCTTTAAAAGTCTCAAATTTAAATTTAATCCATATTGATTCCAATTAGGTTGTGAATTTTGAAGGTTGATATGGTTTTTATCTATTTTAACTAGGTTTTGTGCAGTTTTAATTTTATTTGATTAATTTTGACTTTGTGGATCAAGTTTGACTTTATTTATTAAGTTTGATTAAATTTGACTAGAGTTGACTTTGGGGCATTTGGATTAGCTAGTTCGAATTTTGATTTTAGAACCTTGTCAAAATTAGAGAAATATTGGATTTGAACTAGGTTGGATTTTAAGTATTTCATATAATAGTTAGAATTTTGTTTGGATAAAATTAGATATCTACGTTACTTTAATTTAAAAAATTTATATTTTGAGCTCAACATGAGATGTCAATGTGACACGCTCTATTAGCTTCTATTTTTATATTTTTTTACTCATTTTTTTTTTTTTTTTTTCATTTTTTTCATTTATCCTTTTCTCACTTTTTTTAATTCTTTTTGGGCAATTATTTGTTTAGATTAATTTTATGATAAATAGGAGGCCAATTAAGGCATCAATGTTTCATTATCATTTATGTTTCCTTCCTTTTAGTTTTTAATTTGATAAATTTTTTTTTAAAAATATGATTAATAGATATGGCTAAGCAAAAAAATTTCGATTCGCGATTAGACTAGATAATAAAAAATATGACATGAAAACAATATGAAAAAAATATGAAAGTGACAATGATTACAATTTTAGTATAAATTATAAATTATATATTGATTTAACAATAACCAAATATGAAAAAAGAAAAGGAAAATGACATTGGTTAAAATTTTTGTATAAAATATATATTATATATTGATTTAACAAAAATCAAAAATTGTATTTCGTACTTTTATGTCTATATAAATTGTAACATGTAATTTTTTTTATAAAATATGATACGAATATATAAATTTTTATTATTTTACATAATATGATTACATGAATTGTTAAATTTACATGCAGTAAGACGGTGACACCTTTCTAATATTTGTATAATATTTTCTCATGATAAGGTCTATAATGTTTTAAGAATGCATCTATTATTTACACTTGTTTTGTTAAGTGACAAAGTTTTTAAAATTCGTTTAATACAATATTTTTTAGAGTCATTATAAATAAACTTATTTATATTTTATTTAGAAAATTTATGAAAATTTAGCCTTTTGTAATTTTTAATAAATTCAACCTCAAATAATAAAAAAATACACATTGGTTTGTCACTTAAATCAATCATATGTTTATTATATACACTCATTTTGATAACATATTAACTTGTGTTAAACTTAATTAGTACTATTTATTTATAAGTGAAAAAAAGGTTGATTTTCGTGGATTTTTTTTGGGGTAAATGTTTGTTTTAGTCAAACAAACATTTACTTATTTTGACCAAACCAAGTACAAATGTACAAACACGACAAAATTTTGACAAATATTAGTTAATCTTATGAAACAATATTTATAAAATTCTTAGTAAATGAAAATTATTTGATTTATTATTAATAAAATTTTTAATTTTATAACTGGATTAATATGATAATATACTTTATTTTTAATTAATTATTTTATTTTTAAATATATTATAAGAAAAATGTGCTATTTTATTAACTCTATTTATAAAATTTATTTGGTGAATTTTCAATGTTAATATTGTTGTTGTTTTTTCAATGTATTTTTTTTCCTGCTTTACATAGTAAAAGAGTGGTCCAAAATAGATAATTGTTAATATTATCCCGCCAAAACCCGCAAAAATTAAGAAAAAAAAAAAAAGACAGAGAACCGGAAAACCCCTAGGGTTTTCTGCACAAAAGATTCCACACCACACACTCCAGTCTTCACCAAAAATGGTGAATCCTCCTCCTGACCCTGACCGACTCCAACGACAACCCTTAGTCAAAGGAACCCCAGTCGAGGTAACAAGCGACGAGGAAGGCTTTCGAGGTGCTTGGTACTTGGCTACAATTCTTGAATCCCCTTCCAAATCAACTTCCAAGAAACGCAAGAAGGCCTTGGTTAAGCACAGGACTTTACTCGCCAAAGACGGCTCATCCCCCTTGACAGAATACGTCGATCCCGCTTTTATACGGCCTTTGCCACCTAATGAGAAGGAGGATGCTCAGTTGGGTTTTGAGGTTAACGACATCGTTGATGGGAGTTATAGAGACGGTTGGTGGACAGGGGTTGTGAGAAAGGTTTTGGAAAAGTTGAAATATAGGGTTTATTTTGATAATCCACCTGATGTTATTGAGTTTGAGAGGAAAGATTTGAGGGTTCATTGGGATTGGATCGATGGCAAATGGGTTCGAGCTGAAAAGCAGGTGTGATAACGTGCCCATCTTGCTTCCTTTGTGTTTCCTAGTTTATTCCTTTCGATCTGGGGTTTCTTGGTTTTATTTCGGATTTGGGAGCTGATTTTTTTTTTCTTTTTGGAGGAAAAGGTCAATTCGTAGGGCTCGTTAATTTAGAATCTTTTTTTTTTTTGGATATTAAATTGCGAATCTCACTTAATGTAGCTTGTTACCTTAAAAATTTGCTATTTGAGTTTTGTTTTAATGACTACTGCAGAAAGCACATAGGATGGTTACGGTCTTTTTTGTGCTTGATTTGAATAATTAACTGGAACCATATGTTTCACATGCTATGCCTTCTCTTTTAGCTCTGCTAATTTTCATTACATATCTATTTTGGCCTTGGAATCATGCAAATTCAGTTGGATGTATATCAGTGCGAACTTTGTAATTTCCACAGTTGTTTTTCAAAACTGTATTAGCCTGTTGTCTCTCGTCATGTCATTCATGAAGATATCTGCAGCCTGGTTGACTTTTTGTACCATGTGAGTGATTTGATTTTTTAATTTTATTTTTTTAAAGCAATCAACAGGCTCCATTTTTAGCTCAGGGACAGCGGTGGAGATAAATATTGACAAAGAAACCTTACGTGATGTTTGGTTCCCTGCGATAGTTGTAAAAGAAAATGGGGAGAATACATTCTTGGTGAAGTATCAAAGCTCTAAGAACGAGGATGAGTCTGGGTCAGTAAAAGTTGTTGTAGATTACCTCCACATCAGACCCACTCCTCCTCGTTATGCAGTTAGAAATTATGAATTGCTGGAAAGAGTGGATGCAATATATAATTCTGGTTGGCGAAGTGGAGTAATTACCAAAGTTCTTACTGGAAGAAGGTACAATGTCTTTTTTAAGCATGGAAATGAGGACAAGGAACTTAGTCACTCAGATATGAGGCCTAATGTTGAATGGATTGATGGCAAATGGGTTAGTAAATCCAAGGTATCTTCTTCCTTTGTCTCTTCTTTTCGGGAGATAGATTTATTTTTACCTTTATTTTCCCACTTCAAATTTAAATGAGCTGTTTATGTTCTGATTGTGGTACATTCGATTTAATTTTATCTTAAAAGAAGAAGTAAAAAATGATTTGAAATAGTGCTTTTTGACTGAGTTATGCTGATTACTGGTCATTTTAGTGGTGACCTTCTCTATATTTCCAGTTTGTAAAATGCTTAGTTTTATGTCTTATCTCCTCTACTACTCTTATTTCTACTTTCACTAGATGTATATGTTGAACTAGTTGTGGATTATACATTTCACATTGCTTTAAAATCTGCTCAGTTTTACAAGTAGCTAGTTGTTGTGTTGAATGCCTTAAATGTTATGCTAGTTATGGCTAGACTTCCTTTGCTGGTTTGAGAATGCTTTGTTGTGATTATCTGAGAAATTTAGTGGCATGCAAGTTCAGACGCTAATTCACTTTTTGGTAGCTTAAGCAATGGGCTTTTGTTTCAGGAAGTTCTAATTGCTTCTGATGATCAAGAGCAGATGCAAAATGCTCTCCCTGATATCCACAACATGGAGGTGGCTGGAGAAGTTGAAAGTTCGTTTTCTAGAAGGGATAACACTGAAGATAAGACTCCTTTGACTAAGATAAGCAAGAATTCTATGGAGCAGCCTACTCCTGCTGATGAAAACAATGCTTTGCTCTCAAGCAAGAAGGTCAAACTGGAAACATCCGATGGTAACACTTCCCGCTCACAGCTTTTGAAAAAGCTAACTGAAGGAAACACAGTGGAGACACCATTATTGCTCACAGGCAATAGGTTAAAAGATATGCCTATTAAAATGTCTTGTAAAGAAGGGACTCCAAGGACTGGAGGTACAGGAACTAGATTCACGAAGAAAATTGTGATTGGTGATCAGCCTTGTACTAGGAGTGAGGGCACTTTAACAGGAGCCACAACTGTGAGTTAGATTTCTTCTTATGGAATTTCATTGTTCATATTATCAGCACCAGATCACATTATTATTATTATTATTGTTTTCTTTTGCACATGTTAATGTATTCATATTTGATGATGAGAAATGTATAAATATCACTTTAAAACCAGTGTACTTTACTACTCATTCGTATCTGTATTGTGTCCCTGAGATGCCTTTCCTTAGAAGCACATAGCTCCTAACTTCTCTGTGTTAGTATTTTTTGTTCTAAAATATGTTAGAAAACTGTGTTTGCCTTCAAGTGTAGCCTCTACAAGTTATACACTAATAAGAAATGAAAGTTAGCTTGCCCCTTTAGAATCATACTAACTAAAAACAATTATGTCTACATGAATATCATGAAAACTTGGCCTGCTTGACATATTGGATACTGCTCAATGGGTTGTTTCAAATGTTAAGCAAAGTTGTTTTTCAACTGGGATATTCAATGTGCCCCACTTGCTTTGCAGCAAACTGCTTCGAATAACTGCCTTTTCTGTCAACATCACCATTTTAATTGGGTAATGATCATTGATTATTGGCACTTTGGTTTCATTGGCTCCATCAGTCAATATTCCTGATCGGCATTGTCTCTACTACTTTCATTTGACCTACATTTCCCCTTTCTAATGCAGACGACTAAGAGGCAGAAAGTTGGTTCAGTTGAAAATATAACGCATGACCTTGTGAAAAGGAATGAAAGAGTTAGACGGTCACCAAGTATAGGCCTGCGGGTTTTGATAGCAGGTACATATAGTCCTTAGTACATGTGCACCAGTTTGGTAAATTGTTTAAAATAATACGAATTACATATTTTCAGGCAAGGGGGGAACTACAGTGACTGCAGAAGAAATTAATAGAGGAGAGGTAAAAACAAAAGAAGTTGCAATGCCTATCATCTTCGAATTAACAGCAAAGTTCACAAAGACTTACAGGCTGAAAATTCTTTTCAGATTCATAATGAGGAATCTCTAAAGCCAACGGAGGATCAAAAGAATGTAAATGACCCAATAAGAAAAGAGGACATGGTAAGCAAAATTCTTAATGGTCTATAGTTCAGAGAAAACTGCCAAGATAAGCTATTAAATTTGAAGAAGCTTAAATTCTTAATGCAAACAAAGTGTCATTAAATTGTTGGACGTGTTTAATATTGAGCTATATTTCTTTTATCTTAGCTGGCATGATCATATATATGCAGCGTTTGTGGTCAAGTTTAAGGTCTGCAGAATTATATATATTTTTTTCAAACTTTCTCCTTCAACGATATTACTTCTTTAATGCTTATAAAAGTTGAGCAATTTTGCCATAGTGTGCTTGGTTATACGGTACAAATTGTTTTGACTTGGCTTGAGAAATGATTGGCATGTGTACTTTGTCATGTTCCTGTAACCTGTTCTGAACCCCTGAAATGAAATGATGATGCATCTATTTTCTTGCAACCCCTCCTTTTTTCTTAAAAAAATGAGTTCATCGATGTTGTTTTCTTGTGAGCAAAGTGCGTAGATGTGCTGCTGGTTTATTTGAAATAGTTAATAGAAAGAAAAACAATTGTATCAAATATTGTCGTTGTTGTTTTAAATTAATGCCTAATTAACTGGTTAGTTTTGGATTGTTGTCAGCTCATTTTGCTAAAAGTTTCTATTTTCTTGAGCCTTCTCCTTGGCCTTTGTTTTTATCTTGATATGGTATCAAACATGGAATGGGAATCCCCTTTATTGATATGTTTTCCTCTATTTATATATGTTCCTTTAATTGTTCTTTTAACTGTCAATCTTACTGATGTATGAAATCAAGGAGCATAAAGTTGGAGCAAGGAATCAGAACAGAAAGAGGGGAAGACCACGTAAATCAGTAGTTACAAGTCCAAAGGCTTTTGATGCTGGTATATGATAACTTAAGCTTTAGTTTCTTAATGGGTATATGTAAATCTGTGTCTATGCATACTTAGTATTATTATTTGTAGGTAAGGAGCAAAATGGGGCTGGAGGTCTTGCTGATGAAAAAGCTTTAAAAGATTGTGTGATTAAAGAAGCTGATTTGTCAAAACATAAACGAGCAGAGCTGGCAGGTAAATGGGGGTCTCAATTCTTGGTTTGTCAATGTTACTAATATGCCTTGAGGAAAGTATAAGACTACTATATAAGGCTCTCTGGGAAGCATTGGGGTAGACACTCCCAATGTTTTAACCTGAGCGTAGCAGTTGTCATGGTTTTTTCCAAGTGGTATACTAAATGATAGCCGAATAGTAGGTGTAATGGGGGCAATTACTAGGAAAAAGATTGGGCTAATGATTCACATGAAAGAAGGGGATACGTTTGTTGAATTCAGGGCGGGGAAGGGGAGGGTGATGTCAGGAGGAAAGATTCTACATGTTACCAACCTCTTTTTACTTCCTGTTTCTTTTGCTATCTGACGTAGATGTAATTAAGTCTGAGTAATTGTTACGTCTTTGTAATTTATGGTTATTTGCCTTACCAATTGTAGATTAATATCCTATTTGTTAATTTTATACCCTCTCAAGATGCATTTAAAGGAAGGACAACCGATGGTTACAAAACAAAAGAGGTTCACTTGGCCATTGCTGGGATTTCCAATGTGGCTGATGAGGATCAACCTCTGTCAACATGGATAGGAGGAATCCACTCTTCAGGTGATGAAGAATCAAGTAAGCTGCTTCGTCAGATTTATCAATCCTCGTTTTCTTTTGTTGTTTGTTTCCTCTTTTTTGCACTTGCTTAGTGGGTACATAAATGTAGATAATCACCTGGCCTTTATATTTATGACATTGTTGAGTATGTTTTCTTCAAGGACTTTCCTCTGCTAGGCTTGTCAATGGATGGAAGGAGGAAAGAGGACTGGTTGATGTTCCAGTAGAATCTCTTGCAATTGATGCCAGAGGTAGAAGTCCATTATCGGATGATAATCGGAGTTTGCCTTTTGTTAAGAAATCACCTGTCTGGCGAACAATTGAATCTATGGATGTCTTCCAAATTGTGCCCCAAAAACCGCATTTTCAACCTTTGACCCAAAACAGGGAGGAGTTTCGTGAAGGATCTGCAATTGGTATAATGGTAACCTTTGCTGGTTTGTTCGAGAAGATATCCATGTTACATTTTGGTGATCCTAGGAATACATTTGTAAGCATCTTGGAAAGTCTTAATGACTTGGAAAAGCACGGATTTGATGTTACTTTGCTTCGACATCGGTTGAATGAATTACTATCAATCAAAGAAGCGCAAGGACAGCATCTAGAGGATAGAAAAAATGCTGAAAGGGAGATAATTGAGAATACAAAGGAGATAACTAAGTTTGATGAAGAGATGGAAGAGATTGAAAAGAAGATTACTCAGTTACAAGAACGACATACTGCCATAAAGTCGGAGAAGGAGACTAAGAATCTTAAAATTTCTAGTTTGAAGTTGCATGTTGCTGTTCTAAATGAACTTATTCAGAATACGTCACATGATTTTAAAAAAGTAGCTAATGCCCCTTGGAAGTTGCCATGATATATGGTGCGCTAGTCATGGTTTCTTGTTCATAACAGACTCAAGGAGCACAGGTGACAATTATCGTTAAAATATGTGGATTAAACTGTAGTGGTTAGGATAGGTGGGTAGGGTCGTTTTGATTCTTGTATCTGAATGTATTAATTGTTTCATGCACGTAACATATGGTCTTAGGAGTCATGTATGTTAAGTAATGGGTCTTTTTTGGAGTCAAAATATGGACCTGCTTTCCTAGACTAGAAATAGTGAAAATGTGGAGTACTAACTTTTGTGGAACCCTTTGTTGATGTCCTAACAGATTTTTTTTTTTTTTGGCATATTGCTGCTGCAACTGCACTTAAAGAAGTGAAGCTTATTCACTTGTGATGGGAGTACGTAAATTATCTTTAACTACTAATGATTCTGGTGAATTGCAGATGATGGATTGTTTGGTGCTGGAGGGAGTTTTATTACCATGTAAACATGAGACTTTGCCTGCTTTGTTCTACTATTTGTCTATTTGTTCATTTATTTTCTTAATTAATTGGTCTCAATTAAGAATTCTATGGACTTTAGTCGCTACGAGATTGCACCAAAGCTTTTGCCCAGAAAAACTAAAAGGACGTCAAATGAAAGTGGTTAATTTAGTCCAGATATTTCAGATAAACTTGTAACAGTTATTCATTAAAAACTCCTAAAATCATGAAAACTGATGTTTGAACTATTCATTTAGCAGCAACTTCTCAGTCTGTGTATACGGATTCAAACGTGGGTGCTGGTATTGCAACAGGCCTCTTTGACATTGTTTCGGTTCAATTCAATGATTTAACAATCAACGTTGCAAATATGCTCCACGAGACATGAGCAATCTTGTAAATACTTTAATCGGTGGAGTCGCTGGACCAACAATAAGTAGATTGATCTGATAATTTTAAATATAATATAAAAATAATACGAAAAAAATATGATTTTAAAATTTTAAATAAAAATTATGAGTTTAGTAAAAGTAAAAATATTTTATATTTGATATATCAATATAAATTATGATAGTATAATTTTTATATTTTATATTCATTTAATATAAAAAATTATATAATGAATATATAAATTGTAGAGATGATAGAGTCCCTATAATTAATCATGTTTTTATAATAAATGAAAAAAATTCGTTTTCTTTTTAGTGATGAATGCAAGTTTTTTTTTTTTAATAATAAATTCTTTGCATTATCGATAAAAAAAAAAAGACAGTTAAGCAAAAAATTTTGAAGATATTCAAAATTTTTTTCTTTTAAATTATTTTTTTCTAATAAAATGATCTTATGAATGACCTCATAATTATAATAAAACATTCAATATAATATATGAACTTTAAAAACATCTAATTAGTATTTGAATTATAAATACAATAATTAATGGGATACTTAAATGATTATTTATTTAGTATATATCATTATTTGTAATTAATCACGTTAAAAATAAATATTTTATTAATTAATAGATTAATAGTTTTAATATCACATTAAAAAATTTAAAATTTAGTAATATTAAATATTTTATTATAATTCAAATCTTTAAAACTATTTGTAACATTAAAATTTTTTTTTTAATTTGTAAAAATATCTATAAACGCTTTACTTGAACATGTACATCCGCCCATACTTCTTGGCAAACTTGGGCTATAAGTAGGAATAATTGCAAATCAATAAAGAGATCAAAGTTAAGAAAGATAAATTAGAAGTGCTAGCTAATGGTCCGAAGCTCCCATGTCCACTACTTTTTTGAATCAATATTCTTAATACACCAATTATCAATATTAGAGACCCAAGTTCAGAAAGGTAAATTAGAACTACTAGCTAGTGGTCCTAAGCTCCCATATCCATTATTTTTTTAAAATTAATATTCTTAATACATCAATTATCAATATTTTCGTTTACGAGATTCAATCATTATGATTATAGATTCCACACATGAACGTTAATAATTAATATAAAAATAAGGGAAATTTAAAAATGGTGCACTATAATATAAATTTTTATTATTTGATATAATTGAAAAAAATAATTTCTAGTGAAGAAATGTTAAATTATAAAATTATCAAAAAGGAATTTGTTTTTATATTTTTTTACCTTATTTATTCTCCGAGTGTTTGCATTAGATACTTTTCCATTATATAAAATGATTATAGAAATAAAAATAAATGTAATCAGTTTGATTATTTTGAAACAATCATTTTAAATTCGTTTTAATCATTTTATAAATGTAATCATTTTAATTATTTTAATAAATGTAGTCATTATGTTATAATGGAATCAATTATTCTTAAATTGATTATACAAAAAAATTATAAATATTTTAATTATTTTGGATCAAGTAAATTCAAGATTGCTTTATGATAATAAAATCGATTATTTTTAAATTGATTGATCAAAAATTTGTTATTTGACATTTTTATGTGGAAAATGAAATTATTGTATAAAAAATATATGATTAATTTGTAAATAAAGTGATTATTACCATATCATATGATTTTTATCATGTCGTATTTACTATATGAAATCGATAAAAATAAACTTTAATATTATTTATATTTTTATATAATTAATGAATATTAATTATATATGTTCATTTTTTTAACGTATTATTGATTGATATCCATATTTTATGTTAAAAAGTACAAAAAAAGGTTAAAAATTAATACCAAACACTTAAAAAGCAAGGTTGCATTTTTTAAAGGAAATGAAAATAATTTTGAGATAATTATAAAAAATGTGGAGATTAATTTAAGAAAAAAAAAGAGTATGTTGTTTATTATTCTTTTTGATAAACGTGCGAATTTGAGAACCAAATCACAAGATGAAAATTTAAAAATTAAAATATGAAATTACTATCAAATCTTTTTTTATGGGTATAAACATTTAATTTTATTTGGATCGATTTGATTTTAATCAATTTTTGTGTTATTAAAATTTATATTTTATATGTTTAAAAACAATTTTAATTTTTTAATATCATAATTTTAAAAATAATTCCTAATTTTTGTGAAGAAAATATTGCTAATTATAATTGATTGCAAACTCAATTATTTCAATTATCATAATTTCTTCTTTAATTAGCATAATATTTTAATTATTATTTAAAAAATAAAAAATCTTCATAATAATTACCTTTATTTTTAATACTATTATCTATTATTGTTCAATTTATTATTTTTTTATATTTTTTTATTATATATTTTGCCTTTATTTCTAATACTATTATCTATTATTGTTCAATCAATTCTCGTAAAAATTGAAGTTCAAGCCTGGACGTTGGTTTTCGCCGTAGGCTGTTCAAGCCATCGTAATCAATAAACTAATCCAACTTAAAGAGTTAAAGTTGGTGAAGTGCAACAGTAGACAGTAGTCCAAAAGGAAAGAAAAGTAGGTGAAACAAGTTTCTGGATCCCAAGCCTCGTAAATTTTCAACAACATACTCCGATATGACGCTCCCAGTTGCCCAGCCCATGTTGAGTAGAGGATCTTCAATCCGGATGATTAATCCTCTCCTCTGCTATAGTTTATATGCTAGCAATCTATCAAATTTGGAATGTAAAGAACCCTGTTAATCCACACGTTACCATCAGATGCCTGTCCAAAGTAGGTAGGTTTTAACGGGACACTCAATGCACTAAGTTTTGCAGTTGTGGATTACTATAGATATTTTATTTTGATTACTAATATTTTATTCTTTTAAATTTTTTTAAAGTTGTTAAATTAAAAATTAGCTAGAACAGGTGATAAGCTTATTTCAATGAAAGTTATTTTATGGAACAAGTGATAAGATTGCTTCAATATTAATTATTTTACGAAACACTGTATTTATGGAACAACCTTTCTACATAATAGCTGTTTATGGAACAAATATTCAAGGAATAACTTCTTTACAAAACAACACATTTACAAAATAGTTGTTCTTGAATAACTTTCTTAAGAAATAAGACCAACACCTTTACTAAAAACTTTTGGAACACAAATTGCTTCACTAAGAATTATTCTACAAAAGACGTTTCATTAAATGTTACTTTATTGAAAGAAGAAGTGAAAATAACTCTGGAATATGACATGGTTCTTGGGTTAATTCTACTATTAGGATGTTCCAAAGAGTTTGACTTGGTGAATCAGATATGGAGATAGTTAAGAGGCTTCTTCTTAACCTTTTCCTAAAATATGAGTGCTTCTCTTTTTCTTCCAAAATAAATAGTAAATTTCTATGTTTACTATACCTATTATCAAAAGCTAATTAAACTCTCATTAACAATATGTAAATACCTTTTATAACAGCTAATTCTCTGATTATTCACTATTATTCATATTTAACACCTTTTATAACTATCAATTTCATTATTATTACTATTCAATTCTCAAGACCTATAACTCATATTCTTGGAATCTATAAATAAAAGTTTCCACAGTTCATTGAGAGACTTTTAGGACTTTTGGAGACTTTTGGCAAACTTAGTTTTTTTTGTAATTCTCTTTTCCTGAATCCTTTTTCTCAATCTCATTCTCTTCTCTACTCAGCCTCGCTTCACCACTTACCACCACTTGTCGCCGCATTTAATACTTCAAAGTCTACCCCAATCTTCCTCTCCATTGTCTCTCGCACATCTTGTTCTACTTGTTTGCAACGCTTACTCACCTCAACAAAGAACATCTCTATGACTCAACTAGGGAGAAGAGATTGCATTAGCTAAAACTTCACCAAAGACATGATATGAGCAACTTTGCTAGATATGAAAAATCCTAATACCATAAGAATACTCAATGATGGATCAATATTATGGTTAGAATGTTTATTCTTTCACAATAGAAGTTTAATTAGTTACAAATATTTTAATCTTCATTTTTTACTATTTTTCAACTAACTAAGCATTTCTTTACTATTGTTATTTAGTGCATACACATTTCAGAATTTCAATTAATTGATAAAACGCTTAACGTGAGAAAAATGAAAAGCCAAAAGATATATATTCTAATGCATGCTTCTTTATCAAATATTGCAATAGTGATGAAAATTTTTACCTTTCTATAACTTTAAGAAAAAAGTCATTACCCTAGACTATGTTGAGAATTTTCTTTAATTGTACACAAGATTAATATTCAAAATCAAAGTGAGATAAAAGCTGATATGGCCGTTGTGTTGAATCCACTTTTACTGGTCACAATTTAACACTTCCTACATTGAATCAAATTAATCTCCCAGGTACTAAGTTGAGAAAAAATTATCTGCTTAATATATAATGGAGTTTGATCTCTTTCTTTGTAGGTTGAGAATTCATCTCCCTAATATAAAATTGAGAATCACTTATTGGCCGTAATTTTATCGCTCAATTTTTTGTCGCTATTCTATTGTTAATACTTGTTATCAAATGAATCTCTTTAG